GTGCTCCTATTCTTAGCTGCCTGGCAGCAACTACTTTGAACATGAATCAGCCTCTGATGTCACCAGAACACTGAGACTGTACCTCCTGGGCACACAGAGTCCAACACCACCAGACTGGATAAGAGACTTGGTCCAGTCGGAGTACCACCCTGGTCTCCCTGACCTGGATGGGCCCTGCCCCCACACAACATTTATTCAGGGAACTCCAGGCTGTGCCCCAACCCCTGGTCATACCATAACAACCAGGCAAAAATCACTCTGACTAGGTCAAAGAAAAGGACAGCAAGGACACAGGATAAAGTTCAGTTGGGTACAACATAACACTTGGTGATGGGTAATCTTGATTTTCAACTTTACACGATTTACAATCACCATGGAAACAAACCTCTGGGCATATCTGTGAGGGGTTTTCTGGATTAGGTTACATCCCACTAAGGTGGGAAGATGTACCCTAAAAGTGGCAGCATCATTCCAAGGGCTGAGGTCCTGGTCTGAATAAAACGGAGAAAGTGAACTGGACAGCTGCCTTCCGTCTCTTTCTGCTTCCCGACTGGACCAATGTGACATGTCGACTCATGTTTCTGCTGCTGCGGTACCTTCCCCACCACGACGGAGTTCACCCTCAAACTTCCTTAGGTGCTTTGTCAGTCACGGCAAGACACGTGACTAACATGTAAGTGTTGCAGTGATGCTGAGGATCTGGGCACCGGCTCGGGGACCTCGAGGACCAGCAGAGGCACCACCCGCCGAGTCCACATCTCAAACACAATCACAAGACATGCTCTTCCTCAGGTGCCCAGTAATGACAGTAAAGCAGAAATCTCTGACTGGAGTTTCAGGGCAAAAGCTGTGGCTTTGGGAGCCCCAGTAGGGCAGGAATGGCCCGCTGTCCCAACATGCCACGTGTAGACACAAGTGAATGGAGGAGGTTTTTAAAAAAAAGGCACTCTGGGGAGAGAAACAGACAAAGGAGTCCAGTGACCTCAAGTCCATCTTTGGGTCATGGTCATCAGCTTTAGGTTTAATTAGGGCAGGGGCAAAAGGCATGTATAATTACACTGTTCTGGTAAGGGTGTGGTCTGGTTGATCATTATCTTGGTTCTGGTTCTGCAAGGTGGACATTGAGAAGTTCTTATTGCTTGAGGGGAGCAATCTGGCTCACATGAGATGATAGCCCCTGTTCCAGGTGCAGCCTTACCATCATGGATAACTGCCCTCATCTCAGGGCAGTCCTTCCTGATGACTACAGGTTGAGGAAGATGACCAGAGGCCTCCGGGAACCTTTTGAGAGGTAGAACAGCACCTTGCAAAAGCTGACGGTAAGATGCCTCAGTTGCTCTTTGAGCCTGAAGGGACATGAGCTAGGTTAGGTATCCCCGACTCCTCTTGAGGTATTCTCTGTGTGTGAAGAAGTTAAAGGTAAAGAAGTGAGGTGTGGGGCTGGAGAGATGGCTCAGAGGTTAAGAGCACTGGCTGCTCTTCCAGAGGTCCTGAGTTCAATTCCCAGCAACCACATGGTGGCTCACAGCCATCTATAATGAGATCTGGTGCCCTCTTCTGGCGAGCGGGCAAACATGCAGGCAGAATATTGTATACATAATAAATAAATCTTAAAAAAAAAAAAAAAAGAAGAGGTATGAAGTGAAGGCAGAGACACCGGGTTTTGATCCTGTTTTGGTCATTGCTTGGTCAGTCACTTGTGCTCCAAGTGGGAAACAGTGCTAGGAGAGTTGTGTTCCCAGCCACTTCAGTGTCTTACTCCCCCAGCTCCAAAGTGAGCACTTGATTCTCAGCTACTGGGCAGTGGCCATAGCCTCTTACAGTGACATCTGAGAGGAGTGGGTAGTGGGAAGGAAAGGAAAGGAGGTGTGAAGAGAGCAATATGCACCTCAAATTTAGAAATAAACATGTAGATCAGGGCAGTGCCTCCTCCTCTCACAGGCAGGCCCCGATGCTCCCCACGTGGCTGCGGTTTCCCAGGAACTCCCACCCTCTGCCCTGGGCCCTCATGTGTCTGCAATCCTGAATAGAAGCAACCCTTCACATCTACATCCAGGCAGGCTCAGCCCATCCACTTACAGCGTAGAGAGGCTGGAATCCCTCTGAGGTGCTGGGGCCCTGTGTCCTCCTGTGTCCTCCTAATCATTGCACACTACACATAAAGACAAGGGCAGCAGCTAAGCCTGGGCATTAAGGGAAACAACTTCTGCGTGCCACGGAGACAACTTCTGCGTGCCACGGAGAATGCTGGCCACTCCTGACCACTAATGACAGAGGCCAGTGGGACCCAGGATGTCAAGTGCTGTGTAATCACTGGAGTGCTTCCAGAGAAAGAGGGTGGGGTTCCCCCCCCCACCCCATGTCCACGATGTGCACACGTGGGAGGGGGTGGCTTTCAGGGGTCCTGGGACTCAGCTGCACGTTCTCTTATAAGCAGCCTTTCACAGGCCTTGCAACGTCCCTTTTGCCTTCTTAGAATAATCCCTCACCAAAGTTTCCACAGCACTGCATGGTGCCTGACCCCAGGCTTCGTGGTGCCAGGTTTGCTCTGTGCAAGACAGTGACCTGGGACCCATTATGTATAATGTACTGGCTATTTTTAATGGTGCAGCTAAGAATGAAATTTAGTCACCCTCACTCACCCCCTCTATCCCAACTCTCACCCCCGCCTGACCATCTGATCCTGATGCATTTAGCCTCCGCCCACTCCCAGGGGTTATGACCCTGCTTACTCCAGATAATCTGAGCAAGAGGATCTAACTGTTCACACCTGCCCTCTTGTGTCTGCTCATGATGAGAACAGACCTCTGGCTTCCTAGGTAAACCTTCCTCTAATGCTTAAAAATAATTATATTTAAAAAGCTCCCCTTTTCCCCCTAACAAACACAACAGCTAAATCTTGGAAGAACACCCCCAAGCTTTTTTACTTCCTGAAAAAACACACAAAGCTTTGCATCTCCCTGGCCTCACAGTACCTTTGGAAGGGGCTAAGACTGGGAGAGAAGGATCTTCCTAAGCCTCCAGCCCAGGCTCAAAAGCTGCCCAATGAGCTAGAAGTGAATGCACCTCAGGAACCCGCTGCTTCACCCCACGGGGTGTCCTGAACTCAGGTGACCCATGTGGCTACCTCCCTCCTTACTTCTACACTGGGTTTTTTCTTGCATAGGCTCCCTGTGGAACGGCGGGACTGTTCTCATCACCTCACACACAGAATGCAGGGGTTGCCTTACATGGCTCTACCCATCCGGAAGGAGCACACGGGATAACAGAACATACAGAACACGTATTACCAAGGGGGTAGGGGACAAGGAGTTCCTGGAGCAGCTGCTCCTGACCGGATTGTGCATGAGATCAAGTATCTGGGGGAAGAGATGAAATATTCACATTCCTTCCATCTCACTTCCATATTGAACTATACCATGGATAAGGAAGAAGTTATCCATGACCTCCTGAGGACACAGTAATTCCTGAGAGCTATGAAATGCCACTTGACAACACTTCTCTATACAAACCTTGTTCTTTCTTTCTTTCTTTCTTTCTTTCTTTCTTTCTTTCTTTCTTTCTTTCTTTCTTTCTTTCTTTCTTTCTTTTTTTTGTTTTTGTTTTTTTGGTTTTTGTTGTTTTTTCAAGACCGGGTTTCTCTGTGTAGCCCTGGCTGTCCTGGAACCCACTCTGTAGACCAGGCTGGCCTCGAACTCAGAGATCCACCTGTCTCTGACTTGCAAATGCTTGGATTAAAGGCATAAGCCACCACGGCCCAGCCGAACCTTGTTCTTTCTTAGAGATGATTTTTCATACTATAAAAATTATCTATAAAGATGTTGTATTATTTGCAATTTTTATTGTAAAGTTAAAAATATATATATAGTTTTTTAAATTGGGCCAGGTACAGTGGTGTTTACTTGTAATTGTAGCACTCCAGAGACTAAGGCAGGAGGATTGTGAGTTCAGGGCAGCCTGAGTTACACAGTGAGACTCTCTCAAAACAAGGAAAACAAACCAACCATCTCATACCCATCACTCAAACAAACAAAAAAACGCACAAAATAAAAAATAAGGGCTAGAGAGATGGCTCAGAGGTTAAGAGCACTGGCTGTTCTTCCAAAGGTCCTGAGTTCAATTCCCAGCAACCACTTGGTGGCTCACAACCATCTGTAATGAGATCTGGTGCCCTCTTCTGGCCTGTAGGGATACATGCAGGCAGCACACTGTATACATAAAAAAGCACTGTCAAAAGATGTATAGCTGGGCGGTGATGGCACACACCTTTGATCCCAGCATTGGAGGCAAGGGCAGCTCTGTGACTTCCAGGCAAGCTTGGTCTACAGAGCTAGTTCTAGGATAGTTAGGGCTACAAAGAGAAACCCCATCTAAAACAAAACAAAAGCTGTGTATAAGGCTAGAGCGATGACTGTGGGTAAAGGTGCTGACAGCTAAGCCTGAGGACCTGGTTTGAGCCCCAGAATCTACACAGTGGAAAAACAACTGACTCCTGCAAATTGTCCTCTGATCTCCACACGCATGCTGAGGCATCCATACACCCACCTACCTTGAGAAAATAAATAAATATTAATTAAATAAATACACATTACAAAAAGATGTTGAAAACTGGAACCCTTATGTACTGTGGGTAGGGTATCAAATAGCACAGCTACTATGGAAAACAGTACAGAGCTCCTCAAAAACTAAAAATAGAATCACCATATGATGCAGCAATTCCTCTTCTGGGCATGTGTGCCCGAGAACAGAAGACAGGGTCTTGAATAGCTGTTTGCATACCCTTGTCCACAGCAGCACTGTTCACAACAGCCAAGAGGTGGGAGCAGCCCAAGCATCTATTTACAGATGAATGAATACAGAAAATGTGATGTCCACACACAATGCAATGCTATTCAGCCTTAAGAAGGCAGGAAATTCTGACAGACATGGATGAGCCCTGCGGACATTACACTAAAACTAAGTAGCTACAAAAGGACAGGTCCTCTGTGAGGCCTTACGGGAAGTATGCCAATTAGTCCACAATGCAAACCAGTGCTGCCAGGGCCGTGTGAGGAGACCTAGCACTTAAGGGTTTGGTTAGGGTTTTGTAGGATGAAAAATTCTAGAGATTGACTGTACAATAATGCTGGTTATAACCTTATACCTAGTTAAAATGGTCAGTGTTACATTATGTGTATTTTTTAGCATTTACACTACTTTATTTATGAGTATTTGTATATGTGTGAGTGCACACTATGTGTGTACAGGTACCCAGGGAGGGTAGAACAGGGTGTTGGATCCCCTGAAGCTGGAGTTAAAAGTAGTTGTAGGTTGACCAATGTGAGTGTTGGAAACCAAGCGAGTGCTCTTAACTGCTGAGCCACCTAACTCTCCAGCCCCTATTTATGTGTATTTTGCCACAATTAGCAGGCCAACCAACATAAATGACAAGTCTCTATTACAGCACACTTGCGGGAAGGCACACTGGTATGTGACATTTACACAGTGGTCGCTGTCACCTGCATGGATCAAATGTGTAGATTAAAGAAAAAGTCAGGGGGTTTGTGGAGAGTATGTGGAGTGAGTAGAAAATTTCTTAATAAAGAAAAATGAAAAAAAAAAGAAAAAGTAGTCTGCAAGTTGGATGTGGAGAGTTTGTTTAATATGGTTAAAATATTTGCATGCAACAAAATTTAAAAATGAATAAACCTAAACCCTTAAACCAAAACAACTAAATCCCACAGCCAGGATTCCTAGAACCCTAGACTGCCAAATCTGTCTGGGCTGGTTCGGGCTCCCACACGCTGTTGATTCGAAGGCCACATTGTGTCAGCTGAGCAAAACCACAGACACAGGGAATGGGAGAAGGGGCTGTAGAAGACACAGCTTTAGGTGGGTGCTTACAATGGCGGAATGCTTGCCGAACACATGCAAGACCCTGTGTTCATCCTCAGCACTGCAAAAACAGAACAAATAGTCAAGGGTCCATTTCTAAGTATCCAGAGAAGTCTTTGGACAGCATTAGGAGGGAGGGAGCTGGCTGAAGGGAAAGAGCAGTGTTCTCATGATGGGGTAACAGAGACACTGAGCCAAGCCCTGCCACACAGACCTCAGGGGAACAGCACATGGCCAGCTACATGATCATTGGGTGGGTGGACAGTTCTGATGCATCTCCAACAGGAGGTCTGGGGCAGCTGGGACGAAAGACTTCTCAGCCCATGACATGACCCGTGGGTATCTCACCTCTCAAGGGCCAGGCTAAGAGCTGAACTTATGAGAAGACAAAGGCAGCTATCTATAAGCCAAGGAAAAAGGAAGCATCTTCCTGAAAGCCCTGCCCACACCTGGGTTTTAGGCTTCTGGTTGTGATGTAGGAGGCAAACCTCTGCAGGTGTGGCACAGACTGTGTACCCTTCTTTCTTGCAGGCTTGGTGCTGTGGCTGAGTGTGCGACTATCCACAAGTCTGTGTCAAATCCTAACCCCCTGTGACGGTGTTGGCATCTTTAGAAGATGAGCAGACCACGGTGATGGACCCTTTAGGGAGGGACTGTCTTATAAAAGGGGTCCTTAGAAAGCAGACCTCACCAGAAACCAGTGCCAGGGCCCTGACCTTGGACTGCCATCCTTCAGCCTGTATGCAATCTCTCAGCATCCAGCTGTGGTGTTTTATTTTGGGAACTTACACAGAGAAGACACCAGAAAGGCCAAACCCTGTCCCCAAGGGTCTCCACCACCAACCCTGCCCCCTCCACGCTGAGCACCTTCACTCAGACCTTACTCCAGGCTCTGAACACAACAGTCCTGGAAAGAACTCTGAGTCCCTTGCTGTGTCCCCACCTCCAAGGGAACAACTGTGCCTGGGACCTTGAAGAAAGGACAAGGAGCGTAAACCCCAGAACTGACTCTGGATGAGAAGCTCTACTTGGTAAGTGCCACTGCTCTTAGGAGAGAAGACAGATTTAGAACAAAGCCACTCACCTGCGTGACTATCTTTGACATGTTGACTCCTGAGGCAGACACCAAGCTCAGGCCTTACACTCAGACATAAGCACCATAGCACCATGTTCAAAGAACACAGGAATACTGGAGAACTGGGAGGACCTTTGAGCCCCAGGCCAGTGGAGGGCCAACTCACAGTATCACCTTGTTCCGCAGGCCCAGTGAACACCAGGGCCCAAGGGCCACAAAGCCCTATAATTTTGACTGTGGTCACATTGCCCAGCCTCCCTAGTCCCCCAACACCCTCTGATGGTCCCCAAGCGGTTCTTGAAGAACTGTGTTGGGTTACAAAGAGTGACCCCCTCAGGTGCCCAGATGCAGACAACTGGTCCTCTTTTTGGCAACACAATCCTGGTTTCTCTGATCTATACAAAATTTTATGGCTTGAAAGCCCTTTGTGGTCCCTTTCAAGAGGAGGGTATTACCAGCCAGATTCTGTCCTGAGAAGTATGGACAGAGGGCAGAAAAGATGGGAGTGGATGTGGCTCTGCAGGTTATCTTAGTTACTTTTCTACTGCTGTGACAAAACAACACAATCAAAGCAGCTTTTTAAAGACAGCATTTAATCTGGGGCACACGGTGCCGGAGTTAGCTGCCACGGTGGACATGGAGGGGGCACAGCAGCAGGCACCCTGGAATGGAGTGGGAGCGGTAACTGAGAGCGAACATTTGATCCACAAGCATGAAGCAGAGAACCGGGGATGGAGTAAGCTTCTGAAACCTCAAAGCTCACCCCCAGTGGCACAACTCCTTAATGAGGCCACACCTCCTAATCCTTTTCAAACAGTTCTACCAACTGGGGATCAAGTATTCAAACATACAAATCAAATAAATGAGCCTACGGCAGCCATGCTAACTCAGACTACCACACTGGTATTCCATGATCAAATCTGAAGGCCATTTCCAATTCCCCATTAATCCAAACCATGTAAACTCCAGGGTGCCACTCTGCCCACCCACCCATGTATAGATAAGCCCCTGGCTCATCCTCTTCCCTTTTCTCACTTCCATGGAGCACCTCAATTGGTTCTATCTATCTATCTATCTATCTATCTATCTATCTATCTATCTATCTATCTATCTATCTATCTATCATCTATCTATCTCTATAGTTGTTTCAAGACAAGGTTTCTCTGTGTAGACCAGGCTGACCTCAAATTCAGAGACCCTCCTGCCTTTGCCTCCTGAAGTGGTGGAATTAAAGGCATGCACCACCACTGCTTGGCTAACATCCAGTCTTCTTAAACAACTGGCCACCCTCCAACTGTCCTTCCTGGTCTCTAGGGTCCATACAGTCTACATACTGAGAAACCAGGAAGAGAGTGAAGTTACTTAGCTAAATCCTTCCCCGTCTCAATTCATCAAGAAGATGGTCACAGGGGTTAGGTGGGGTGACTGAATGCCGCCAAGGTACAAACACAGGACTTATGATGACCACCAATAGGGCACTGCTGGGAAGGTGGGCGGCAGGTGATACTCAAGACACCATCATTACAAAGTCGTATTAGTTACTTTCCTATTGCTGTGATAAATACCGTGGCCCGGGCAACTTATACAATTTATTCCAGAGGGTAAGAGCCCATGATGGTAGAGCAGAGGCATGACGGGGGAGTTGGAAGGGAAGAACTGACATCTTGAACTACAAGCAGGAAGGAGAGAGCAAAGTGGGAATGGTGTGAGTCGTCGCAACCCCGAAGTCCCCCCTTAGTGACGTTCCTGAGCAAGGCCGCACCCTCCTACACCTACCCAAATAGTGCCACCAACTGGGGATATATGAAAGCCTGAGACCATGAGGGACATCTCATTCAAACCACCACAGATGGCAACTTCCTAGGGACATCGGAGCCCATCCAGAGTCCTGGTCATTTCCTCCCAGCCTGGGGCGGGGATCAGGGGAGATCACAATATTCTGTTTTGCTGCAGACAAGTTAACTATATATACTGGTTGGTTTCATTTTCTTAGTTTTTGGTGGCGGATGGGGCCAGGTAGTACATGCTGGACAAGTGCTCTACCACTGAACTAGATCCTCAGAACATTCTCAAATCTTTGAAAAATAAAACACACTGATGTCCTTCCAGAGAAGCTGGGCTCCTGTACCCAGGGAAGGAAGCTGCGTGGAATACTCACTGGGAGGAAGAATTGCAGGGCCCTCACCAAGGACTCAGGAGCTGTTAGCCAATAACTGAGAGGTTTAACTAACATTGTACCACTAGAGTTTTCTTTAAAAAGTAATAAGTACATAAGGCTCTCTTAGAACAAAAGAAAGCTGTGCCCTCTAGAGGGTACCAGGATAGACGATTTTAGTTTTCTTCTAACACTTTGCTGTGCATTTCAGATTCTGTGTCATCAGCATGTGGAGTTTTTACAATTTTAAAATACAGATGTCAAGACCTTTCCCTCTGCTGCTATGTGAGATGAGCACATGTAACCCACTCCAGGCTGGCTCCACAGTGCCCACAGCCTGACCTAGATAAAGTGACTCTGCACATGGACCAGCGGAAAGGTGAGGTTCAGCTCCTCCTGGCAGACCATCACTCACTAGACCATCTTCACTGAAGGATGCTTAGCTCAAGGTAGGGAGCCTGAGGAGGGGTGGTTGTGGGGGATCCCAGGCATGGACTTTTAGACCTAAGGATGCACCAAGATCAAAGCAGATGGATCCCATCCTTTGAAAACCTTCACGGGGTGGGGGCACACTGGGGGGTGAGACTTCACAAAAGGAGACCTGGAGAACACGGTCTTTGAGCAGACTCTGGAGGAAGAGACTGGATAGAACAGGGTGGAGGTGCACTGAGATCTCTTGTGGAGAATCTGTCTGAGCAAACAGTAAGGCCAAAAACCAGAAAGCCCCAGTCTTGTCTTGACTAACCCCTATGGAGGTGGAAGGGCACAGAGTCTGGTAAGGATGGGCTACAGCCCTGGTTCCCTTAATATAGGATCCACTGCAGGGACGGGTGACCCAGGGAGAGGGAGGTACCTGGACCAGCTAGCTAAGGAACCAGCAAAGTGACCTTCCTAAGGCTGCAGAAACAGAGGCCACGGAATCACCACTGCAAACCTGAGGGCCTGAACCCCCTCTGCACACAGCAGGAGAGAAAGCACTATTCAGAGCTGACAGCACTATTGTCAGAACAAAGGATGCCTTCAAGCCAAGAATCCAGGCAGCCAACACGTGCCAGTCACCAAGCAGCCTGCCCCTCACACCCATCTCCAGCATCCCCTAGCCTCAAGGCTGGGCCTTCCCGAGGTACAAGTGCTGATCATTCTGACCAACTGCACCATCACACAATGCTAAATGCAGGTTCTCAGAGGAAAGAGAGCCCAGCCCCGATTTGCATAGTGGGTCAGCCCATTAAAAACAAGCAAAAAGCAGTAACTTCTCTGAGAGGCTGTTTCAGGAAAAGAAACAAACAAAACCCCAAATCTATCCAAACTATGCTTTATTCTTTATGCAATAGTTTTTATGGGTGACACAATCACCTGTTGCTCAGATATCTTTGGATATTCTTCTTGGCAATATGACATCAAACTTTTACAGAAGGTGGGATGAGAACAAAATAATAAATGCAAAAAGAAGGCATTATTAGACCCCCTCTGAGTACAGGTTTTATGAACAGGGTAATGAGCCACGTGAACTACCTGGCATCTCAAGACACAGGCCAACATGCTGATGTGGTGCTGGATGGCACCACAGTCCCAGCTATCAGCAGGTCTTGTCTTTACCCCCAACATGGTGACACCTCAAACCTATCCTATATTCTGTTTTTGTTTTTGTTTTTTTTTATAGAATCTCCTTTGTTTAAAGCTAAATGAAGGGCCAGGATACAGCTCAGGGTTAGAGAACTCAGGGGCATGCACAGGGCCCCAGGGTTCTATTAAAAAAATGTAAAAAGGAGCTGGAGGTAAGACTCAGTAGTTAAGTGACTGACGAAGTATGAAGACTGGAGTTTGGATCCCCAGAAACCCACAAAAAAGCTGGGCAGGCATGGCCACTACCTATCATTCCAGTCTCAGGAAGGCAAAGATGGGATTCTCCTGAGCAAGTTCGCCAGTGAGCGAGTTCTGGGTTTGATTAAGAGAGCATGTCTTACTTTGTGCAGCCTTGGTGCAGGGAGGAGGGGCTTGGACCTGCCTCAACTGAACGTACCAGGCTCTGCTGACTCCCCATGGGAGACCTTGCCTTGGAGGGGGTGGGCATGGGAGGTGGGTTAGGGGGGAAGGCTGGGAGGAGGGAGGACAGGGGAATCTGTGGTTGGTATGTAAAATGAATAGAAAATCTCTTAATTAAGAAAAAAAAAGAGAGAGAGATGGCACATCACAATAAAACTTTGCTCCACTCAAAAAAGAGCATGTCTTGATGAATCAAGTGGAAGAGAGATAGAGGGTTTTGTTTTGTTTTGTTTGCCTATTAAATGCATGTACACACATGTGGACAATGCCCCCACCATGCAAACACAGACACAACACACACAAAACAACCCTCCCCTCCCCCCAAAAAACAGAAAAAGAAATTAAAAAAAAAAAAGTAGCTGGAAATGATGGCACATACCTAACCCTAACATTCATCATGCTGAGACAGGAGAATTGTGAGTCCTAGGCCAGTGTGGGCTACATAGTGAGACCTTGTCTCAAAACAAAACAAAACTTCCCCATCCTCCAACCTTAACAGTGGTAGGTAATATGGTGAGACATAAAATTCAGGATTGTTTCAAATTTGGGGAAAAAACTCTTCTCTCTCTCTCTCTCTCTCTCTCTCTCTCTCTCTCTCTCTCTCTCTCTCTCTGTACATGTTCATGGTCATGTATGTTCAGATATACATGTGTGCTCATGTATCTGGAGACCAGAGGCAACCTTGGGTAGCATTGCTCAGGAGTTGCCCACCTTTTTTTTTGAGACAGGGTCTCTCACTGGGACTTAGGATTCACCAACTGGGCTACATGGTCAGCCAGTGAGACCCGGGGGTCCCCTTTTCTGTGCCTCTCCGGTGCTGGATTACAGTGTGCCACCAGGCCCGGCTTTTCTTTCTTTTTATTTTTCTGACAGTTCTGGAAGAAACTCATGTCCTCAGGCCTCACAGCAAGCGCCCTACAGACTGAGATACACCCACAGCCCTCATACTTCAGGGAAAATCTCACTCATTTTCTTTACTGACGATCTGCAGGTCTGTAGGGTATTTTGAGATTTCTCAGGTAATGACTCATCTTAAACACCTTTTTTTTTGAAGCATTAACTGTTTTTGCTGAACCCTTACTGTGGGCCACACCAGGCTGACCTTGAATTACTGATCCTCCTTTCTCAGTTTTCGAAGAGCCGGGATTACCAGCACGCACCACTATGCCCAGTTTGAAAAGATTTTCTAAATAGTCATAAGTAAATTTTTTCTTCCTTTTGCTTACCCTATTACAAAAAAGGCTGAATTCTCTGGAGATTTTTGCAAAAAAATGAAAATATTGAAAAAACTGTCAGCTGAGTAAAAATCAAATTGTTCACCAGTAGAAAATATTGGGAAAAATACAGAAATATGTCAAGCAGACAATAAATGATGGGTCTAATTAATGCCATTTTCCTAGATTACATTAACTTTGGGGTCTTTGTTGGTATTTAAACTTGTAGGTTTTTTTTTTTAATTTCTATTCTCATCCTACCTAAAAACATACAAACAGTTATAATTACAAAAAAAAAAAAAAAAGTTGACAGGCAGATGGGACGGCTCAGTGGGTAAAGGCCCTTGCTGTCAAGTCTGAGGGTATGAGTTTGATTCCTAGGACTCAACAGTGGAAGGAGAGTCCCGCAAGTTGTCCTCTGACCTCCACATACATATTGTGGCAAGCATATCCACACACATGTACACATGCACACAAATAAATACAACTAAACTTTTTAACTAAATGAGAGAAAGTAAAACACAGACAAGAATAAATGCTACACCTTATAGAACAGAAAGATGCAAATGTGCACACACGTGTGATTTTTGTTTTGTTTTTTGAGACAGTTGTTTCTCTATATAGCCCTAGCTGTCCTAGAACTCACTCTAGACCAGGTTGGCCTCAAACTCATAGATCCAACTGCCTCTGCCTCTTGAGTGCTGGGATTAAAGGTGCGTGTCACCATTGCCTGGCCAGGTTTTCATTTTTTTAAATCCTGCTAATGATTTACACAATTCCCAAATAAAATAAGAATGGGAAAACAACTAAAACTATTGCAAACAGATGCATGAACCCAACCTACCATGATAGCCAAGGCAGGGCCATTGAGAAGACAGACGGTTCCAGGGCAGAGTATCCTGGGACAAGCACATCAAGAAGCATTCCCAGGTTAGAGCCCTATGAATTTAGGTCTGTACACAGTGGTGGGGCTACTCCAGAATGTCTGGGTCTGCCTATGGAGCCAGAGCACCAGGGTGGATGTGGCTGGCTAATGGCTGAGCTGGGAGATTAAAGCAAAGAGCAGAGGAACTAGGCTGGGGGAGTCGTGGTCCAGCACAGGAGGGGAGACCATGCAAGCCTGACACTAAGCTCAGTCCAACCCACAGTCCACAAGGCCCAGCATCGAGTAACACTCAGGATGGCTTCTAAATGCCTTTCTCTACCAGCAGAAGAAAGCCAGGTGCCTCAGAGGCAAGGCTCATTTCAGGCTGGAGCAGGCAAGGTGATCGCCATGTCAGAAAATAGAGAAACATATGTCAACGCACACGGGCTGCGAAGGGAGCTCCTACCAGCTAAATATGGCGAAATTAATGCCTCAGATAAGATGGCTCAGTGGGTAAAGGCACCTGTCACAAACCAACTACCTGAATTCGATTACTGAATCCCCATATGGTGGAAGGAGAGAACCAGTTCCTGAAAGTTGTTCTCTGATCTCCACAGGCGCATGCGTGCGCGCACACACGAAATCCTGACTTAATGTTAGTTTTCATTTTTAACAGGGAGGAGAGAAAGATCAGCTCCTCGGACGACAGACAATGTTACCACAATACAAGTGGAGGCAGAAGAGAAACCCAATTTGCTCTGCAAGCCCACAGCAGCCAGGCAGGATTTGGAAAACCCACCCCACAATACTGACACTGCCAAGGGGACAGGGAACCGGGGTCAGCAGCCTCCCCGCCATCCAATCTTGCTCTCTGCACTTGTAGATGTTCCTACGTGCTTGATACAGAATCACTATACACGTAGGCTCTAAGCAGCTAGACAGATGACAGGTGATTTTGTCTGTTTGTTTGTTTTTTAACAAACACATAGCCTATAATCCCAGCGCTCGGCAGGCTTGGGAGTTCTGGGCCAGCCTGGGCTTTATAGCAAGACTATGTCAAGCACCAAAACAACAAACAAGCAAAAACAAAGTCGTATATGCACGGCAAACGGGGGAAATATAAGCGCTGTGGCAGGCTATTTGGGTTTTGGCTGCACTGAAAGCTGATCCCAGACTCTCTGGCTGGCAAGCAGTGGGACAGTGGGTAAGAGGCCTGAGCCTGTTTTCTGAGTGCAGTGCAGAACATGGAATTTTTGCATGTGCCACCTAGCTTGGCTCCAGGTAGGGCAGCTGTGCAGTACACTGTGAACATCCCTGAAGGGCACACTGCATCTGCACTCAACATCCTTGACTTCCCTTTAAATGAGTATGCAAGGATTTTGAAAATGCTACTGATACATTTTTGCCAGAACATATATTTCCCAAGGATTACAATTCCACAGCCTGCAATTATTCATAGGCCACAAACAACCTAAACTGAGGGCGGCAGGACTCAGACATGATATCCAGGTCCTCTGCCCCTTCCACTGTCTTGTCTCAAGGCATACCCTGAGTTCATTTAGACTCCTAGACCAGCTGACAGGGGACCCCCACCTACAACCTACCTATGACATCTGCCCTGCACTCTGTGCCTGACTCTCCTTGGTGATGGGGTGTAGCCACACGTGCACAGGACTGGGTAGCCTGTGTGAGATGGGACCCAGGGACAGATGACTCCGAATAGCTCACTGCCCAGCTCATCTACCCATAGTCCCCAGGGCTCAGCTGACCATGTATAGAGCTGCAGACTCCTGACACAAGGATGGCCAGACATGTGTGGGAACATGATGGACAGAGGCAACTAGCTAAGCTCAGCCAGGTATAGGGATCCTTAGACCGCTAAGATCCTGTGAGGGAGCCATGAGTTCACACTGTATCCAGAAGACAACATTCGCTTTTCCAGTGAGCATGGCAATAGATGGAATCCTCTCATGAAGGCAGAGGGACCCTCTGTGGCACTGCCAGAATTGGTGAGGTCTACTGAGAGTGCCACCTTCCCAGACCAAAATGCCAACACGTTAATGGCCTGTTCAAATGAAAGACTGAGCCCTGGGC